TGGTTGTAATGAGTCCACCAAATACCCTCCTAAACATGATGGCACCAAGCAGATTGCACCATTTTAAGCTAAAAAGTGCAAAACCCCCTATCCGCCCACCGGCGGCGGGCCGCGCCAGCACAAAGGCGGGCGGCACGCACAACACTGCGAGCGACCGCGCGGGCCTCGCGACCCCCAGGGCCGTGTACAGGGGGGGTGGTCCAGGGGTCCGGACGCGCCCCTCTGGCTCGCGCAGAAAACGCCATCTAAGGGGGTCGAAGTTACAAAAAAATTTTCCCACCCGGCCGTGACGCCCCTTCACGCGTGCGCTCCTGCAAGGTATGCGTTACGGCTTAGACCTCCCCCGTCCTTGTCCGAATCATGTACACAGCCCGCTGCCGCCGCAATCACGTCAGCGTTTCGCTCGCTCGGGCTTGGTCGCTGGACCGTGGGGCTCCGCTCGTCCGTGCCGTACTGCATCCCACCATTTCACTACCATGATTGCCTCATTTGCTGGCACCCTCTCTTTTCTGAAAGATCCTCTCTTGGGATGTACCGCTGTCCCTGGTTAACACCTGATGACTCGCGTGGGTCTGCGCCCATGGGTCATATTCCCAGTAGCTACCCAGGAGTAAGCCATACATATAGAAATAATATCCTCATATTATCTCTAGGCATCCTGATACTGACGGGCACATGCGAACCTTCCCGCATCAGACTTTCCGTACTAGTCAAGGAATTGATGGCGAAAAACCCTAACACGACCTGACGTCATGCGACATACTCTGTTCATGGAAACAAACGTCCCCGCACCTTTATCCCGCAGTTTTGTTAGCGATGGCAATTAAAATTCGGATATGCACTTTACTATACTAAAATTACTATAGACGTTTATGGCAGGATGCATGAGAACATATTTTGGCATTAACAGACTAACTTATTAGGTCAACTAGATCTTTGTAGAGAAACGAAACCGCAGAGGAGGCTAGTTGAGCACCAACAGACTTGTTACCCGCCTGAGTGTCCGTGTATTTTGGAAATGTTTAATTAGTGTTACGTATCGCTTCTCGCCTTTGTGGCTAAGATCAAAGTGTAGTATCGTGGTAGTTCAAGAACCATGAATCACACGGGAAAAGGATCCCCCTGGTCTACTGGTTCCCTAGCAGACAGCGAGTTATGTAAGTGAAAATTTTCTTTTGCTTGCCAGCTGAGTCATTGCATTTGCTGTCCACGACCGGAGGCATCAGAGGACACTCTGCTTCCTGGAAAGAAGACAGGCTGGTGACCTACAGACCATAACAGTGTAGACAACTCACAGTCCTATAAAGTACAGGGTAACTAAACCAAAGTACAGTACTACTAAAGTACAGACCACACAAAGTACAGACTACAGTGTAGTGAAAAACAATCTGGCTACATTGCATTCCTTTTCTAGCAATTTCTGCTATTTTACTTATCTGACTAACAGCCCACCTGTACAGCGAGACACCCACCGGAGGCACGCTAGGCAGAACTCCTCTTGCGCTGAGTCATTGCTCGTTTGCACAGCGGGGGACGGTGACACACCCAGGGCACGCAGCGGATTAACTCCGGATGGAGGGCCACTATCGCGGCTAGTGCTCGTTCCACTCAGCTGCTCGTAGCTCGCGATCGGCTCTGGCGAACCTCCCGCGACGCATGGAAGTCCAAGTCGTCGTCACCAGAGTGCGGCGGCCGGCGCCCCCCCCCAACACTTTCCAGGGCGAGCACGGCCATACGCCAACAATCAGCAACGAAGTAGGCGTCTGTCTGTTCTGTCAGCGCAGCATTCCCCTAACGGTGACGGCCGGCGGGCCGGCACACTGTAAGACGAATGCCTGTGCGCGGCGTGAAGGAGCAAGCGGAGGAATAGCGGAAACTCGAGCGCTGCATCAACAGGCCCCCACAACCAGCCTCAACCGTTTGCGCTGGTTACCCCGCGCGCGTCCGAGCCGCTCCCCTCTACTGGCGACTGGGGCGTCCTCGAGCTACCCCAAGGGACCCGAGTAGGCCACGCGGTCACTGGAGGGCAGCCACCCTTGTCACTGGAAAGCATGGGCGCGAAAGTTACACCGGCACCTGGTAGGTCTCACCTGTCGGGAGTGCAATTTGACGGCGATACGCGTGCCCCGTGACGCATCAATGCAGTGGCAGCACTGATGAAGAACTGATCCCAAACCTCGCCCGCAACCAGACCCTCATGCCGATCAGCTCTCCCGATCGCTCTCGGAGAGTCACGGCTCACATCAATATCCGAACCCGGACTCCACAAGAAGCGGGTTGACTGGCGCTGACGGACTCGGAAGTCAGCCTCATCCTTTGACTGCTATGGCGGGACAAGACCCTGACTCACGCTCTGCCCACGAGTGCTCTACTGCACCGCTGGTCTCCGACATCCAGCCCGCGAACCTCCGCTTCCTGAGGAAAATTTAGTCGATCTCCATCACCCCCGTGTCTTTTCTTGGGTAACCCGCGGTCGAAGCGCCAACATAGCTCTAGTACTATAGCCGCTGGCCCCAGCGGTAGTTAATGTAAGCGGGCTATAGTACTAACCCAGCGGCAGTTAATGTAAGCGGGCTATAGTACTCGAGCTACAGCCAACACCCCTCTCAGCAGTAGTAGCAGGAGTAAGATAATATAGGATTATGATATATAGCCTCCTATTATGACCTATATTATCTTACTCCTGGTAATAGTAGTACTAATAGTAATAGTAATACAAATGGTACCGGTACTTACCTCTTCTAAACATAGTTCCTCGTTCCAGTTTCCAACACGAACGGACGGCTTATATTTGTGTCGACTCATGTTGTCAATGTTGTTTGTTCAGAGGCTATGAGGTAATTAATGCCGGTAAAAGCCTGTGCACTCACGTGTGCCTGTGCAAAAGCCTGTGCAAAAGCCTGTGCACTGGGCATTATTACGTAGCAACCGTAAACAAAGCGGATGGCTACACCCTACGTCACCACAAACGTGGATCGAGTGTTCACAAGTTGGTAAGACATACTCCTACGTTTAACATTATTATTAATAGGAACCCAGATCCTATCAAATATCATCTACCCTAATCAAATATTTGGTATAGATACCCTTAAAATATTAGTTTTCCTTACTCCTTTTTAGAACTATATATTTATCGCGTAGATCCATTGTGCGTTGGACGGCGTTTCCTTGGCAACGTTTATCGTGAACCGCTGTTTGCTTCGCCGTGTTGACAGATCTATGCGAGTTGTGAGATTGCAGTGCTGCTTCTGAATTTATCGATCTGCGGTTTGTATATAACTCGTTGAGAATGTCGGCTGTTGAAGTTCCCAATCGTCCCGTCATCGCAGCAAAGGAGAGAGGTACCACGTATTATTTTCGCACAACATTAACCATACGTGCGGATACGGATAGCTTTGCGTTTCTTTCAATCTTTGCACATAATTGATCAACTTGTCTCTCCGTCTTCGTTATACTAATAAAGTAATAGTCCCCTGGACTTTGATGACTATTAGTATTACTTAATTTACGAGGTACGAGGTTAATTATAATATCACATTTTTAGTACCAATAGTGTACGTGCCACTTAATGTTACTATTTTTTTACTATAAATTGTAATAAATAGTAAATAATTTAATTACTATGTGCTTTGTTATGATTCACGTGGGCTGCCGTATTGATTCACGCATTGATTCTCTCTCTGTCTTCGTTATAGTCCATAGCACTTTTGAAGACTAATATTTATGAGGTTATTGATTCACGTGGTTTGACACGATTATATTTGTACCGTGATTTTAGGTCCTGGACCAGGTCGTTATGCTCTTCCATCAACAGTGGGATTCAACACTCATGATTTTACAAAACACATGAACCCTGCCCATTCCTTTGGTCATAGATTGGAAAACCCAAGTACGTATAATATATTTAGGAATACAAACAGGTCTACGCATAAACAAGCTAAAATATCATCAGTACAACAATAAGATATTTACTTATACTTGTTTGTTTATATTTATCGTTCAGTGCATATATTATAGGGTATCACCTATGGTGTCACCAAACGAATTTGTGTGTGTAAGCCCTAAAAATACTAAGGGTATTTTGTATGACGTTCTTCCATAACATTTTTAGTTTGGATACTGAATTAAAACACCAGCCAATAAATCTCATGGATCAAAACAAAAAATCTTCTCACATCCATACATTGTAAAGCGAAATATAACGTTCATTATTATTAACCTTTGTGTTGATTGTCAGAACAACGCTGCATTTTCAATATTAAACAGTGAAGTGTCTTAAAGTTATGCCTATATTATATTCAACAGTGTTGACAAAACGATTTCAATTTAATTGTTATATTTTTTGCTCATGGATATGACCCTAACTTTATTCTATAAATATTATTCTGCCAACAAGAATTCCAGCATTAATAGCAATTTCATTTTATTTTACAGTGTTTCGTAAAGATAGTAGTCCAGGACCCACATATTTTATTAACTCTAGTGTCACACGCTGGGGCCGTGATGGAACACCCGCTTACTCCATTTCTGGTCGGCTGAGAGATATCAGTAAGTGTTTGTGGATTTTTGTACTATTATTATACTGAACATTTTGGTTATAAAAAATATATTACATAATGTTACTTTACGAAAGCACGGGCATCTAGCGGGTATACCAATGATCTATATTGTTGATTATAGATAACTTAAATTCAGGTATGATAGATCAGTGATAATTTCATTGAACGTGCAAATAAATAAATAAATAATTTAATTAACCAATAGATATACGTATAATAATATATATATATATATATATATATATATATATATATATATATACATGTATAATTATGTATAATATATAATCTTTTGTCGTCAATATTTTCAACTATTACATAACGACCCTGCTGACAAAATCATTTTAAGATATAATTTTTCCATAGTAATTTAGTACCTATGTCATTGTTGTACCAGACTCCTTCAGCACCCCAGCCCCAGGAACATACTCTCCCGAACAAGTGCATCCCCAGGGAGAGCGACATGCGCCTGCCTATTCCATGGGTTCCCGGACTCGATACCGTCAGCACGACAATGTTCCTTCTCCCAGCTGCTACTCCCTGCCTCACCTGCTGGGATCCAAGGTATTCTCTCCCGTTTGGTCTTTTGTTGGCATGGTCCAGGGTCGACCGTATATTTCTCGTTTGCTTTCATCACGCCTGCCTAGGGTCTCGTACAGTCTTTCTTGTTTTCCTTTCGTTATCCATTTCCATCATACAAGCCATTTTCCCGAATGACCCGGCGCGTATTTTCAACATGCGTGCCGGCGTGTTATGAAACGTGAGCTGACGGCGGTGGCTGGGTTAATGCGCAGGTACCGCATAAAGGTTCATCGCCCAGCTACACGATGACCGGGCGCAGCAAGACGGGAGCGTTTTCCGAGGACCTTGCCAAGACCCCCGGCCCCAACTGCTACACGCTTATAACGCCCGACCTGTTCCGACGCAAGGCCCCCGCCTACTCGATGCTGGGACGCAACGAGATGCCCGGAGACCGCACTTCTAAGCCGGGACCAGGAGCGTACAGCCCAGAGAAGGTGAGGCTCAACAAACAGGCCTCGCCAACCTTCTCAATGGGGATCCGACACTCCGAGTACATCACGCCGCTGATCATAGATGTCACTGACTAGGCGAGCTCTAGCCACTTCGCCGCCTGCTGACATTTGTGACGTGGCTGACCCGAGCAGTGACGTCAACTAAATCGCAAATAATGTAAAGAAATCGACCATGTTATTATGCAGCATGTTTGTTTAGATAAAATCATATTAGGCAATTTTATTTTCTATAAACTATTTTTAATATGTTGAAGCAGGGTTTACCAAATTGTGCTAAATTGTGGGTGAGATGGAGTATTTTAATATATAATTATGACTTTGTAATTCGATATACAATTGTTGGTTGTTGATTTTATTGTTTCATATTTTTTTTTAATAATTGGTGTCACAGGTTACTAAATGTTAATATCCAGATGGGTAAGTAATCATAGATCATGATGCCATAGAAACATGTGAAATAAAACGTAATGGATGTAGAATCAAACGGAATTCTTGTTTTCATAAATGATTACGAACAGATAATTACCAACCTATGCATATCAATCAATAATCATCAAATGAGGATGTGTTTGCTCGAAAGTACTCAGATTCACAATAGTTTTTCTTACACAATGGCTTATTTTAGAGAGTATGAACAAATTTCGAGTTTTCTTATATCGTGGAAATGGTTCAGAAGGAGAAGTGCGAGCCGCATACACACTCACACCAACATCATATCAAGATCATAATCAGGCTCCTGTCATAATCATGGGTAGCGTAAATGAGAATTTTTCGGATACCAGACATTATTACGCTCGAGTTTTCGCCACGCAGTTATATAGTTCGTAGTTCGCCACGCAGTTATATAGTTTAGCTGTGTAGAATTTGGCAACCATTGCCACCATTCTGCATGGATCCCCGGTAAGGGTGCGGCTGCGTGTGGTCGGTATATAGAGGTTGTTCGTACGGCGCGCGTGGTGTTCGCCATCACACATTATACGTCTCCCCGTGCACACGCCTGCGCTATCGTCTCTGACACTCGTCTGGCAGCATGAAATGTACGGTCTTTGTGGTCTCAATATTTGTTCTTCGACGTCTAAAAACCAACTATCTAGATCTGCTGGTTGGTTGGCGAGTCGTTTGCTCTTGTTTACCGAATATCGGACGTCGTAAATAAAGTTGGTCTTTTGCCTGAAACCATTTCAGACAAGAACCGAATGCTCATGTCACGTATTAGTGCAGCGGATAAGCACATAAAAATATATTATGTGGTTGTGTGACGAGACCGTAAATTTTAGGTGTTAGAAATCCACACACACACACACACACACACACACACACACACACACACACACACAACACACCACACACACAGCACCATACACACACATACATTAGCACGCGCCATGCACCCCCCCCCCCACACACACATACACACAACGCCACACACACACACACCACACACACACACACACACACACACACACACACATACCCCACACACACACACACACACACACCACACACAGTTGAGTTTTTCAGTGTTAGCTTTCGGCTGTGAACTTTAATTTAACAATCCATACATCGCTTACACGTCGTAAATATTGATAGAAATTAGACCTAGTCACTGATAGTTTCTAGGAATACCTACTTACACTACAGCGCGTAGGCACTGAGCGCGGCATTTTGCCGTAAATTCTACGAGATCGCTCGCTATTCAACTCAAGTTGTCAACAAGCCGCATGAAGTTGATTATGCGTCAAAAACCAGTCTACGCTAGCCGTCCGAGAATAGAACCCTTCAATTTTTTTCTTCACGAAAAAATGTACGGCCGTGTGACAGCGGGTGATTTCTTAAACGCTTCACACAAAAATTCTATTCAATGCTGAGCTATTTTTAGGCCGAGTAGGGGAGAAATCTGGCCCGAAGGAATTTGTCCGGAAAAAGGGGTAAAGGCTCCAGGCCACCTGAGGTTCAATGACCAAAATATAATTCTTTTCCCCCGAGAAGGTCGCATTCTTGCTTTCGCGTTACGGCCAACAGCAAAACGTCGGCGCATCACTCAGCGACGACTCTAGCAGCACGAACGAAACAACAACAACGTAAGGCGGGCGGACGGGTATAGGCGTGCTCGTAAAGCGACCTCTACCGGCGATTCCTTTGCATCAAGCAGGGCGGTGACGGAGAACACGCCACACGCACACCCACATGCGGCACACGCACACGCCCGCAGACGCAACGCCACGCGCACACACAATGACACAGCACACACCAGCACACACCACTCACACACACACACACACAACACACACACAGTATATAACTAATATATGATATCGGATGACGCTGATTGCCACCATATAATTCAAAACGCGCAGCTAATCATATGGATGCATGGTGATGGGCAACGACGGCGACGTCTATGATGATAATAATGATTTCTGATGTGTGAGAGCTGTTATACAACACACTGCTAGATACATAGCATAACGAGTTAATATACGATGACAGATGCTTTCAGAAACTCTGCATATCGAAAAGCGATCGCTTATGTAAGGTGTGCATTGTGTCTTATTTGAAATAGGATAGTTGAATTTCTTAATGAGATACTTTGCTACAGCAAAGTATTTAGATTTTACGGCGCATTCGCTTGTGAGGCTGCGTGCGTGCATTGCGTGCGTCGTAGTTGCGTCGCGCGTACGTTGCGTGCGTGTGCGGTGTGTGCTTCGTGTGCGTGTTGTCTGTCGCAGCCGCTGGTGAATGGCGCGGTTGGCGTGCGTGCGCTGTTTTCAGCCTGTGGCTTAAACACATCGTAATTCTGCAGGCAACGCATTTCGACCCGCAATCGATAACAAGCAGTCAATAATCGCGCGCTGCCAACCATATTCAACGACATCGGCAGGTAAATTCGAACGCAATCGAATCGAGTTGCATTTCCCACTCCCGGACACGAGCGCGAATTCCGCGTGCGCGATTGGCGCAGCTTAGCGCAGCGCCCAGACGCGCGAGTGATAAAATGGCCGGGAACTACGCGCGCCAGCTCCCGGTGCCAAGTCACTATCCTTTGTTTCCCACGCCGGCGCGCGAACGCCACGCACGTGCTGTGAGCGATGGTCGCCCGTTAGTAGCCGCTGCATGTGGCGTATATATATAATACTATATATATATATAATGATATATTAGTAAATTTAGATGTGTGGCTTGTGTCGTGTTGTGCGGGGGGCGTGTGTACGTGTGTGTGGTGTGCTGTGTGTGTGGTGCTGTGCGTGCGTGCGTGCGTTTGCTTGCGTGCGTGCGTGCTGTCAGCGAGCGGTGTGTGTGTGTGCTGTGTCGGTGTGTGTTGTGTGTGTGTGGTGATGTAGCTAGGCTGTGTGAGTGTGTATGTGTGAGTGCGTGCGAGGCCGGCGCCAGTCGCCGCCAGCTGAAGCGCAGCAACACTGCTCTCCCCTCCCCGGCCATTGTGTGCGGGCATCTTTTGATCTTACAACAAACGAGGGAAATAATGCGCCGCGGAGTTCGTTGTCCCACTGTCCTAATTGTGTGTGTGCGTGTGCGTCAGTGAGAAGATGGTGAGGTGAGTAGGTGTGCAGCGTCTGTCGGTGTGTAGGTGTGTGCGTGTGCGTGTTGTGAGAAAGTGGGTGCGTCTTGTGTGGTTGCGTGACAGGGTGTGTGCGGGGCGGCAGGTGTGTATGTGTGTAGATAGCGTGTGTGCTGTGTGTGTGTAGGATGCGTGCGTGCGTGCGTGCGTAGTCGTGTGCGTGTGCGGTGTGCGTGTGCGTGTGCGTTGTCGCGTGTGCTGGGTGGCTGGTCCTGTGTGTGTGACGTGTGCGTGTCGTGTGCGGGTGTGCGTGTAGCCGCTGTGCGGTGCGTGTGCGTGTGCGTGTGCGTGTGCGTGTGCGTATGTGTGTTGTGCGTGTGCGCGTGTGAGAAGGTGAATGCGTGTGTAGGTGTGCAGGTGTGGTAAGATGGGTAGGTGTGTAGGTGTATAGGTGTGCTATGATGTGATGTATTGTGTGTGTGCTAGTGTGTGTGTTTGTGTGTGGTGTGTGTGGTGATGTGTAGTGTGTGTGTGGTGGTGTGTGTGTGTGTCGTGTGTGTGTGTGTGGTGTGCGTTTGTGTTGTGTGCGTCCGCATGGTGTGATGAGCTGCGTGTGTGTGTCTTTCCAGTTTCGCTTCACGGCGCTGGATAGGTGGGTCGTGAGTGAGTGAGTGAGTCGTGGGTGGCGCTGGGTGCGGTCGTGCCGAACGAGCGGCAGGGAATCTACAACTATAACCACCCAGCAAACCCCGCCCCAGCGGCGTGCGACCACAGCGCCACAGCGCGGGCACGTTTCACACGAGAGGACAGGGGGATGCGCATGCGCGATACGAGGAGGGTAATGGCGTACACTAATAGCGACAAATATCATCGATATGTTTGTATTTCGGCTTGCTTTTATTGGTCGAGCTTTCACGCGCTTCAGATAAATGTGGAGAGGGGCTGGCTGTGACTGGGTTATTCCTTGTTTCGCTTTTATATAGGCATAGAGGCGTTTATGAATGGTTGCGCTGCGACAGCTGACTTCGTCATTATTGTGTGATGGCGTCGTAATCTAGCGCGCAGCCCCCAGTATCGCTGATGACGGTGACACGTAGGCTGACCTTGAAAGGCCAACGTATTGGGTCGTAAACGAACCAAACTATAATTTACGATAATATAACGCTTTGGAGCGCGAATTACGATCATCATCAACGTGCCGAGAATAGAGGATATACTCCTAAGTGCTGGTGTGTGTGTGTGTGTGTGTGTGTGTGTGTGTTGTGTGTGTGGTGTGATGTGGTGTGTGGTGTGTGTGGTGTGATGTGTGTGTGCGCGCGGAAGTGCTTGAATGTGTGCGTATCGGTGCGTGTGCGTGCGCGTGCATGCGTCCGTGTATCTATACGTGCGTGCGTGCATGCGCGCGTGTGCGGGAGCGCGTGTGTGCGCGCGCACGCGTGTAAATATTGCGGAATATTAACGGCATCATTAACCCCTTGCCTTGTACAATGCTTTCATTTATTAAGTAATAAGTAGTACAAACACAAATACGATGTACAGTGAGGCGGTAGCGTTATAGCGGCTGCAGCTTAAGCAGTTCATAGTAGATAGATGCGTCTAATACAGCAACCGCAGACTAAATGGACCTTGCACAAACAACGACTATATACACCCTGTATTTCTTCGCCATTCGGTAAGGAGGGGTAGAATGCCG